GAGCTCGCTTCATCATCCGAAGTCTCTCTAATTTCGGATGTCGGGCAGTTCATGCATGAAGGGAGGAGGGGAGCGGCATGCGATGGAAAGGGCATGCGGGGCCGGGGGGAGGGGGGGGAGGCCTCCGGTCAGGGCGGGAGGCGGCGAGGGCGAGGGAAACCGCGCACAGGGCCGGGAACGCGGAGTACGGCGTGGGCACAGCAAGAGAGCGCATGTACGCACACACACAATGCACATGCACACACACGAAGACGCGCGCACACACACACACACGGAAGGAAGCACGCACAAACACACCCACCCAGCAAACGCGCGCGCACACACACACACACACACACACACACACACACACACACACACACCACACACGCAAACACACACACACACACACACACAACAAAACTCACGCACGCATACAAAAAAAAAAAAAAAAAAAAAAAAATCATGCACAGAACGAAACACAGTCATGCAGCCAACGGCCCATCTGTTACTCCACCAGTAGTATTTGGTTTCGAACATCATCCATTACACTCGGATCCGGAGCGGCGCCACTGCATGACGCCGCATGATTATCATGGCGAGGGACGGTGACGTCACGGCTCGGGGGGGGGGGCGTGTCATGAGGGCTCCCCGGTGCCATGAGGAGTTGCGAAAGGACGCGTCATGCAAGGTTCATGATGTTTTGCCGAATGCGGGAGAAGAGAGGGAGGGGGCGGGGGGAGGGGGTGTAGAGGTGGCGAGAGAGAGAGAGAGAGAGAGAGAGAGAGAGAGAGAGAGAGAGAGAGAGAGAAGAGAGAGAGAGAGAGAAGAGAGAGAAAGGAGAGAGAGGAGAAGAGAGAGAGAGAGAGGGGGGGGGCGTGGGAGAAGGAGAGGAGGGGGGGGGTAGAGGGGGAGAGAGAGAGAGAGGGAGGGTTAGAGAAAGAGGGAGGGGTAGAGGGGGATAGAGAGAGGGTTGAGGGAGAAAGAGAGAGAGAGAGAGAGGAGAGAGGGAGTTGAGGGGGGGGGGGTAGCGGGGCCGATAGGAGTGGTCATGCAGTCCGGTGGCGCCATCGGAATTCGCGGCCCCTAATAATACCGAGGATATTACGGGGTCCTTCGACAGGCACACGCGCACGCACTTGCACACGCACACAGACACAGACGGATGATTCTTATCCATAATGAAGAAACTTATATTCATGTATCCACTCGTATGTATACCAGTAATACATAAACCTGGCGAACATCCAAACGGAAAACTTTCGTAAACTGGATCAAGGCAAAAGAAATCGAAAAAAGGGAAAAGGAAAAAAAAGTCATCTCCTTCCTTTTTTTTCGTAATCTTTTACATACAAAATAATAATAATAATAATAATAATAATAATAATAATAATAATAATAATAATAATAATAATAATATAAAACAATAACAATAATGTTAACAACAACAATAATAATAGAGACAATCAACAGGCAAATTAAAAAACAGGGTAAAAAAAAAAAAAAAAAAATCTGCCAATTTTGGCTTCCCCTAAAACCTACATGTAAACAAGCAAACACATAAATCACATCCATCCCTCACTTCCTCTGATATTTACGTCCCAGAACCAAACCAACCAAACCAAACAAACAAACCAAACAAAACAAACAAAATCATCCTCTTCCCAAATCTAAATCCAATAAGCAAGCAAGCGATCTAACGCCGAGACTCATAAACAAACAAATAAATACACGCACATCGCCATCGCCATCACCCCCCTCCCCCGCAAGCAGCCACGCAGCGAAATGAAGAAGCACATCCGATTTTCTTTTGTTTTCCCTCTCCCGCTTCTGATTGGATTAGTTCTGGCACGTCCCAGGTAATCTGATAATATCATTAGGCAAATCCCTAATCCCCCAAATAATAAAGAGGGAGAGAGAGGGAGAGAGAGAGGGGGAGAGGGAGAGAAGAGAGAGAGCAGGGAGAGGGACATAGAGAGAGAGAGAGCGCAGGGAGAGGGATAAAGAGAGAGAGAGAGTGCTGGGAGAGGGAGCACTTGGAGATGGAGAGGGAGAAGGAGGAAGAGAAGTAGGAAAGGGAGATAAAGATAGATAGATAGATAGATAGATATAGAGAGAGTGGGAGAGAGGAAGATTCTTCTCCTATTCCTTCTTTCCCTCCCCTTCAAGAGGCTGGGCAGTCACTCACTCACTCATCCAATACACTCCCTCACTCACTCATCCAATACACTCCCTCACTCGCTCTCTGCCTGCTACTTCACTAATTTTACCATTTATATATCCTCACTCTCTCCCTTATTCACTCCCCCTACTTGCTCATTTACTCACCTTAACATCTGCTCACTCACCCACCTACTCACATCTCATTCACTAACGGATTTACCCATCCCCTTACTCATTCACGGACTAACTGAGTCACCCACTCCCTCACACACACACAGGCGGCCATCCTCTCCCCCACTCACTCCCTCACACACCCTCTCCCCCACTCACACCCTCACACACATTCAGACGACCATCTTCTACCCCACTCACACTCACGACCATCTTCTCCCCCTCACTCCTCACACACACTCAGACTCTCTCCCCACTCACACTCAGACGACCATCCTCTCCCCCACTCACTCCCTCACACACACACACACAGGCGGCCCTCCTCTCCCCCACTCACCCCTCACTCACACTCAGACGACCACCCTCTCCCCACTCACTCCCTCACACACACTCAGACGACCACCTCTCCCCCACTCACTCTCACACACACTCAGACGACCATCCTCTCCCCTCACTCACACACTCAGACGACCTCCCTCACACACACTCTCCTCCCTCACACACACTCAGACGACCATCCTCTCCCTCACACACACTCAGACGACCATCCTCTCCCTCACACACACTCAGACGACCATCTTCTCCCCCACTCACTCCCTCACACACCACTCAGACGACCATCTTCTCCCCACTCACTCCCTCACACACCCTCTCCCCCACTCACTCCCTCACACACACTCAGACGACCATCTTCTCCCCCACTCACTCCCACGACAAAGGACCGACAGCCATTAAAAGGAAATTCGCCGAAGATTGTCTCGGTGCGATCAGCTGATTGGGATTAATAACTGCTGATGCTTCGGAAGGAGAGGAGAGGAGATGGAGGAGGAAAGGAGAGGAAGAGGAGATGGAGGAGGAAAGGAGAGGAAGAGGAGATGGAGGAGGAAGGAGGAGGAAAGGAGAGGAAGAGGAGATGGAGGAGGAAAGGAGAGGAAGAGGAGATGGAGGAGGAAAGGGGAGGAAGAGGAGATGGAGGAGGAAAGGGAGGAAGAGGAGATGGAGGAGGAAGGAGAGGAAGAAGAGATGGAAGAGGAGGGAGGATGAAAGGAGAAAAGAGGAGATGGAAGTGGAAGGAGAGGAAGAGGAGATGGAGGAGGGAGGAGGAGGATGGAGGAGGAAAGGAGAGAAAGAGGAGATGTAAGAGAAAAGGAGAGAAAGAGGAGATGGAGGAGGAAGGAAGAGGAATGAAAAGAGAAAAACAGAAAAGTGGGGAAGGAGGAGGGAGAAAGAAGAGAAGGGGAGAAAAGGAGAATTTATAAATGAGGGAGAAATAAATAGAAATAATTCAAGAGAAATCAAAACGAATTAGGGATACATAAGAAAGATACGAAAATGAGAGAAAACGCAGCACACAACACAGAAAGAAAGAAAGAAAAAGAACATGAAAGAGAAAGAGAGAAAAAAAAAATAAAAGATATTTATATAAAAGAGAACGGAATCAACAAATATTTTCTGAACAAAATAGTTTACAAAATTAAAGAAAAAAGAAAAGAGAACATAAACAAGAAAGAAAAAAAATAAACAAAACAATTTCATACATAAAAAAGGAACATAAAAATAAATACTGAGCACAGCAGTGAACAAAAATATCAAAATTAACACACGAAACATGAACAATAAAAAATTCGAAGGTGAAATTTGGGAAAGAAAATGAAATGGAGAGCAAGAGCAAAATATATATTGCCAAAACGACCTCTAATTGCCAACGTTCACCTTTATTGTTCATTACGAAAGATCTTTATTCAAATTTCATTTCCGTTGAACGTTTTGCTCCCCTAAATATGTTGACGATGATTATGATAATGATTACAATAATCATAATGATAATAGCAACATCAGCAATAATGGTAATGATGGTAATAACAATAACAACAACAACAACAACAACAATAATAATAATAATAATAATAATAATAATAATAATAATAATAATAATAATAATAATAATAATGATAATAATGATAATAATTAAATAATGACAATTATAATATTAAAAATAACAATAATAAAATAATAACAATAACGATATCAATAATAATAATAATAACAATAGCAACAACCATAATAACAACAATATTGATGATGATCATAACAAATAGTAATAATTCCACGCGTTACGTTTTCACCAACAACAATAAAAAAAAAAAAAAAAAACACACACGCATAAAACATCCCTCTACTCTAAATGAAATTATTTCTGTGGACGAGAATAAAGGACAAAAAAAAAAAAAAGTCCGTTTTACAACTCCAACGACAAAGAGCAGTGCTAAGAACAGCATTTATACACGCCCTTGACTCTCCGTGGGTGAGGACATTTACCCTTTTCCTGAACTGTGCGCCGCGAGGACCTAATCTGCAGTATTAACAGCAGGAATGGAGGCGACGGGAAAGGTAAAAGTGTAAAAAATATCGATAACGTTCGATAGGGCAGAAGAGAGGAGAGAAAAAAGGGGAAGGAGGGGGGGGGAGGGAGGGAGAGAGGGAGGAGGGGGGAAGGAGAGAGAGGGGGAGGGGGAGGGAAACAGAGGGGGGAGGGGGAGGGAGGAGGGAGGGAGGGGGAGGGAGGGGGAGGAGAGGGAGGGGGAGGGGGAGGGGGGAGGGGGAGGGAGAGAGGGGGGAGGGAGAGAGGAGAGAGGGAGAGAGAAGAGAGAGAGAGAGAGAGAGAGAGAGAGAGAAAGAGAGAGAAAGAGAGAGAGAAAGAAGAGAGAGAGAGGAGAGAAGAAGAGAGAGAGAGAGAGAAAAAAAAAAGAGAAAGAGAAAAGGAAAGAGAAAGAGACAGAGACAGAGACAGAGACAGGACAGAAAGACACAAGAAGAGAGAGAGAAAGAGAGACACACAGAAAAGCAAACCGCACACACACACACACAAAAACCAGTCCCCCTAAACCGAGGCACAAACAAATATCGCACAAACAAATGTATCCGTTACAGTGGATATATTCAACACTTCAAAACAAAGCATGACTGTGAGAAGTTTCGTAGAGGGGAGCAGGAAGCAGTAGATGGAAGGGGGAGTGAGAGAGGGGAAAGGTAAATTGAAAAGGATATGAGTATTTTATTTACGTATTTTTCATCATTATTTCATTTTGAATTTACTATTATTATTATTATTATCTTTTATCTATTTATTTTTTATCTATTTATCTTTTTTACTTATTTATTATTTTTCTATTTATTTTATTTTCATTATTATTTTTTTGTGTGAGTGAGTGAGTGAGTGAGTGAGTGAGTGAGTGAGTGAGTGAGTGAGTGAGTGAGTGCGTGGCGTGCGTGCGTGCGTGGCTGTACTTGTGTCTGTGTCTGTGTTCGAGTATGTGTACATGCGTCGGGGAGGAGGAGGAGGAGGAGGAGGGGGAGGGAATCGCCCCGTTGTACTTCCCTTGATCAATACATTACTCATGGTTCTCTGACGCCCCCCCCTCTTCCCCCCTCCCTCCCTTCCCTCCTTTCCCCCTCCTCCCCTCCTTTTCCCCCTTCCTCTTCCCTCCTTTCCAGGCGAGAACATTCACGGTCACTTGTTCAATGTGACGGTAATTAAAGCGGAGAAAAGAAACACACGCTAATAATAGAGGGAAGCGGGGTTCGCAAAGAATGACAGCGACAAGAGAATTTCTGGAAGAGAAATCGACTTTATATTATTGTTGTTGTCGTGTCGTTGATAATGCCGTTGATCGTAATAAAAATCATAATAATGTGCGGGGTTTCGATAATAATTCCGCTATCATTGATATCAAATTATCTAATTTTAACAAAATCACCACAAACATTATAGCAATAAAGTCAATATTTCTTTTTATACATTACCGTCATCACTACCAATATCATCTCACTATTCCTTATCAAGTCACCATCATTATCATCATCATTATCACTATCATCATCATCATCACTCTATCATCATCATCATCACTATCAACACCATCACTACCATCATAACGATTTTACTTCGATCATTCCAAACAGTACCATCACCATCGCTGTCACCATTTCGCCTCACTGTCACGTCACGACCGGCTAGGTAACATATTCGGTAAAAAAAGGCAGCCCGATATTTCGTGCTGTCAGTATAACCTTTGGCCAAATGGACGTCCGCAGCGAAATATAAATGAAAAATAAAAATGCGCGTTCCTCATGATCAAGCGTGTATTTCGTACTGTAAAATATGGAACATTCTCTCTGAGTGAGTGAGTGAGTGAGTGAGTGAGTGAGTGAGTGAGTGAGTGAGTGAGAGAGAGAGAGAGAGAGAGAGAGAGAGAGAGAGAGAGAGAGAGAGAGAGAGAGAGAGAGAGAGAGAGAGAGAGAGAGAGAGAGAGAGAAAGAAGAAAGAGAGAAAGAGAGAAAGAGAGAAAGAGAGAGAGAGAGAGAGAGGAGAGGAGCAGCGAGTGTGAGCGTGAAGCACCCACAAACGCACCAATACACGCACGCACGCACGCACGCACGCACACAGCACGCAACACACACACACACACACACCCACACACACACACAAACAAACACCACCACAACCCCCCCAACACACACACACCCACACACACACACACACACACCCCTCCCACACACACACACAACCCCCCCCCACACCCACACACACACCCACACACACACACACAGATGCACAGCAACTAAACTTGGTCCCAATCCGGATCCCAGAGACGGATATACTCGTTAAAATGTTTATTCAAACTTTATGGCATCGTTTGGGAGGCAGCCTGTACACTTTCCAATGGCCGAACACGAGCACACGCAAACATGTAGAGGATTTGGTCCAGCCGATAGACAGGCAGATAGATGGGAAGGGAAATAGACAGACATAGTATATCCGAATGTAAAGGGAATGGCTATATATTTAGAAAGATGTAGGAGCCACGCAGAGCACATAGGCCTATATATAAACAACATAATAGCCAAAATAGAGAGAAATAGACAGATATCTACACAGATTGACAGACATAATAAATAAATGATAAATAGACAGATAGATAAATAGATAGATAGATAGATAGACAGATATATAAATAGATAGATAGATAGATAGATAGATAGATAAATATAGACTGATTGATGATAGATAGATATATTGATTGATAGATAAAAAGACAGACAGACACATGAGTACTAACCAAAATGAATCGAATTTAGCCAACAAGATCAATGCAGAGATGATGGCGTGGACGGATAGATGGATACATAATACGGCGGATAGATAGTTCACTGTATAAAAAGTGGTCAGACACATGAAAAGAGAGACTAATGGGTAAATAGAGATATTGAATGAACAGCGGGACGGCAAAAAAGAATGATTGACAGGTGATGGACAGATGCGCAGATTAAGTAAAAAATATCCGCTGAAATCGATCGAATGAAAACAGCCGGCTGGAAAAGTTTTCAAGTTGGACCAGAGGGCGAATTATTTACGTCACAGAAGGGTATAACAAACCGAACTGTCTGAAAGTTGAAGCGTCCAATTACACTAAACAAAGCCCGAGTCTCGCACCCACACTAATCAAAGCCCCTTTTTCACTCTAATAAAAAGCCTGAACCACTGACACTGCTCGATGCTTCAATAACTAATTGGCACTTACTAAGGACGAACGGGAAAGCCTGAACCACGCACGCTAACCAAGTCCCGCTCTAACCAAAGCCCACACTAACCCCACTAACCAAATCTTTTCACTGTACTCTCCTTTTAACCGAGCCGCCCGCGCCAGAGTCTAAAACGCCCACATTCCTCCCCGTCAATAAAGACACGCCCTCCCTCCTGAAAGAGCCCCGACTTCCCGACCTTTTCTGCTCCTCTTCTTCTCCTTCTTTTGAACTTTAAACCTCCACCAAAGTCTTTTATTTCTTTCTTCTTCTCCTTGGCACCGATCTCTTAATCTTCACAGCGGGAGATGAAGATGTCAACAACGGCAACAATAACTGGCATCTACCTAGTTGCCGACTTAAAAAAAAATAAATAAAAGTTTTGAGCAGCGACTTGCCCATTTCTAGCAACGCCCTCATCACACAGCGAAGTGCAGACTGGCGTCATCACCCGAACTACATGTCCAACGCATCACAGCACCAACTCCACTAAGTCCTCCTCATCACCACTTAACCACTTCACGAACAATAAGAATCCCCCGATGATGCACTCTACCAAATCACGTAATTATCACACATTCACATCCTTGCAAAAAGAGAGAAAGAGAAAGAAAGAAAGAAAGAAAGAAAGAAAAAAAGAAAGAAAAAAGGAAGAAAAAAAGAAAGAAAAAAAAAAGGAAAGAAAAAACACTAAACCATCTTATCAAACTCGACGAAACCCCAAAACCTTTCGCAATGACGTGCTAAAAAGCCACGTATCTCCCCCCCCTCCCCCCAAACGGTATTGGTGTCGCCCCTGGCCCGGAAACACACACGGACACAACCATCACGGCAGCGGGACAACGGAAGCTGCCATCGGAGCGGGCTGTAAATCGCGGGAGGACATAATGCCGGTGTGAATTATTCCACGCCGATAAATCCCCTTCAGTTTCAGGTGGACGGAGGATCAAGGGGAGGGGGGGTGGAGGGGGAGGGGTGAGAAGGCAGAAGGTAGGAGGGAAGAGGGGGGTGAGAAGGCAGAAGGAAGGGGGAAGAGGGAGGGGGTGAGAAGGCAGAAAGGAAGGGGGGAAGAGAAGGCAGAAGGATGGAGGGAAGAGGGAAAAGAGGGGAGAAAGGGACGAGAAAAGGAAAGAGGGAGAGAGGGCGGAAGGGAGATTAGAAAGAGAGACGGGGAGAAGGAAGATGTGGAAAGAGGGAAGGAAGGGGGAGAAAGAGGAGAAAGGGAGGGAGGGTAAGAGGAATAGAAGAAAGGAGATAGGAAGGGAAGGATATAAGAAAGGAGACAGAATGGGGATAGAGAAGGAAGGGGAAGGGAGAGGCAGGGAGGGCTGGGTGCAGAATCTATACGAGGTACTCGATCTTAGTTACGATTTCATCAAGAGTATGTTAAATATACAGACAAATGATGGGAAGAGAAGGAATGAGAGGAAGGAGAGGAGAAGGAGAGGAGAGGAGAAGAGGAGAGAGGAGAGGAGAGGAGAGGAGAGGAGAGGAGAGGAAGAGGAGAGGAGAGGAGAGGAGAGGAGAGGAGAGGGAGGAGGGAGAGAAAGAGAGGAGAGGAGAGGAGGAGAGGAGAGAAGGGGAAGAGGATAGGAAGAAGGGGCGGTGAAGGAGAGGATGGGGACTTTCGAGGGAGGTAAGAGAAGGTAAAAAGGACGAGAAAAGACACTGATTAAAAGGAGAAAAAGAAGAGAGAAGAGAGAGAGAGAGAGAGAGAGAGAGAGAGAGAGAGAGAGAGAGAGAGAGAGAGAGAGAGAGAGAGAGAGAGAGAGAGAGAGAGAGAGAGAGAGAGAAAGAAAGAAAGAAAAGGAGAGAGAGATTGAGATTCCACCAAACTGACCAAGACAAATCCCTGTTCGAGACATCCCATTCTTGCCAAGCAATCCGTTTCTCCCTGCTTGCAAAATTATCGTCTGCTCCTTGCAACTCCTTCTCCTTCCTCTCCCCACTTCCTTTATTCTTCCATACGTCTTCATCTTGGGAATCAGTGGCTTAGAATTGGCTGCTCAGTTCCGGTTCATTTGCAAAATTGCATTACTTTGCCCCTTCTAATTTTGCTTTCTCCCTCGCCTGCGAATGGAGGAGATAAAGAGGAAAGCGAAAGTGAGGGGGAGGAGGGGGAGGAAGAAGGGTTGTAGGGGAAGGAGGGAAAGAGAGAGAAAGAGAAAGAGAAAGAGAAGAGAAGAGAAAGAGAGAAGAGAGAGAGAGAGAGAGAGAGAGAGAGAGAGAGAGAGAGAGAGAGAGAGAGAGAGAGAGAGGAGAGAAGAAGAGAGAGAGAGAGAGCTTCATTCCCTATCTTCCATTAGTTTTAACATAAGCGAGAGTGCTGTCCTTTACTCTTTTTTTCTTGCAATCCCATCAAAATACTGTATGCATATAATTAGGGAAATATACATAACGACGATAATAATCATAATAAAAAGGACAATGATAATTAATGGCAATACTAGAGATAATTAAAAACCGAAAAGGATATCAAATGTGTAAAATCCACGGCCAAAAATATATAAATAAACAACTAAAAAAAATAAAAAAATATAAACAAACCAACCCCATTAATGACAACACCGTGACAGACGGACAGCACGGCGTCTCCTCGCAGGCTCTCTTCTCCCCCCCCCCCCCCACCCCGCTTGACGAAATCCCAACTTAACTCGCACGGCCGGAAAGGTGATTTTAACATTAACGCGCCGGACGGTATCCTGGGTCTCATGTTTTCGCAATTAATCCCCGACTTTCTCTCTCTCTCTTCGTTCTCTTTGTTGAAACTTTCATCGGGACAGCTTCACGTTAATATCATATGAGCGAGACTTTTGCCTTTGCCTTCGAGATGCCTACTTCGCTATTCTCTGTGACAAGTGTCTCGGTTTCTCTCTCTCTCGCTCTCGCCTCTTCTCTTTCTCCGTCTCTTGTCTCTCTTCTCTCTCTCTCTCTCTCTTTCTATCTTTCTCTCTCTCTTTTTTCTCTTTCTTCCTCTCTCTCTCTCTCTCTCTCTCTCCCCTCCCTCTTTCTTCTTTCTTCCTTTCTTTTTTCTCTCTCTCTTCTCTCTCTCTCTCTCTCTCTCTCTCTCTCTCCGCTCATCCCCCCTCTCCTTCTCTCCCCTCCGTTCTTCCTCGTCCTCTCCC